ATAATGTCATTCTTACTTAAGGTTGAGCAATATAGTCAAGTGCATATATATACATACACACACACACATACATTTTCTTTATGAATTCACCAGTGATAGACACTTAGGCCGAGTCAATATTTTTAGCTATTGTGAATAGTGGTGCAGTAGATATAGGTGCACAAGAATGTTGATATATGTCCAAATAAATGTCCAGTAGTCATATAGCAAGATAATATGGCAATATTTCTTTTTTTTTAAGTTTTTTTGGAGGAATTTCCATATTACATTACATAGTAGCTACAATAGTTACCTTTTACAAACAATGTATATGATTTTCTTTTCCCCAACATCACTACCAGCATTTGTTGATTTTGTTCTCAGCTATGAATCCACTCTAGGATTCTGATTACAGTGAGATGAAATCTCACTGATATTTTTTGTTTTTTGTTTTTGTTTTTGCCAGTCCTGGGACTTAAACTCAGGACCGGGGTGCTGTCCCTGAGCTTCTTTTGCTCAAGGCTAGCACTCTACCACTTGAGCCACAGCATCACTTCTGGCTTTTTCTGTGTATGTGGTGCTGAGGAAATTGAACCCAGGGCTTCATGCATGCGAGGCAAGCAGTCTACCACTAGGCCACCTTCCCAGACCTCACTGATGGTTTTTGTGTGTGTGTGCTTGTACAGAGATTGATTTCAGGGCCTGGGTACTGTACCTTCTCTATTTTGATCAAGACTGGACACTTTCCCACTTGAGCCACATGTCCACTTCTAGGTTTTTGCTGGTTAATTGGAGATAAAAGTCTCATGGATGGCTTTGAACTGGGATCTACAAATCTCAGCCTCCATGTGTTCAGTCTCCATGTGTTACAGGACTTTCTTTGGTGGTTTTTGGTGTTGAGTTCTAATTTTATTCCCTTGTGGTCTGACAGAATGCAGGGCATAACTTCAATGTTTCTGAATTTGGACAAGTTTGCTTTGTGGCCTAAAATGTGTTCTATTTTGGAAAATGTTCTGTGTGCTGCTGAGAAAAATGTGTATTCTGATGCTGCTGGGTGAAATATTCAGTAGATGTCTGTTAAATCTAGTTGATCTATGCAGTTGTTTAGATCTGCGGTTTCTCTGTTGAGTTTTTGCCGAGTTTTTCTATCTAGTGGGAATAGTGGTGTGTTAAAGTCCCCAACAATTAATGTCTTTGTGAGACTTGAGGGAAAGTAGTGTTTCTTGGATGAATTTGGGTGCTCTGTTGTTTGATGGATAGATATTTAGAATTGTAATATCCTCCTGAAGGAGAGATCCCTTGATTAGTATGTAGCTTCCTTCTTTATCTCTTCTAAGTAATTTTAATTTGAAGTTTATCTGATATGAGGATTGCAACTCCTGCCTGTTTATGGGGGCCATTTGCTTGGTAGATTTTATTCCAGTCTTTCACTTTCAGAATATGTTTGTTTTTATGGGCAAGGTGTGACTCTTGAAGGCAGCAGATAGAAGGATCTTGCTTTTTAATCCAACTAGACAGTCTATGTTGTTTAATTGGAGAGTTAAGTCCATTAATGTTGAGAGTTAGGACTGAGAGGTGTTTGGTACTTCCTGCCATGTTATTCACCTTCTTGGGGGCTGTGACAACTGCGTCTTTCCTATGGTTCCGGGATTCTCAGTTTGGGTGCGGTTTCTTGGATATTTGACATTGTTAATATTATTTGCATGGGTTCCTTGTATTTTTTTCAATCTGCATGATTATAATTTTTTAAGGTTGAGAATATTTTTGAATAATGCGCCTTCAAATAATTTGTATGCATCCATTCCCTTTTCTGGATTACAGTTATGTGTATGTTATAGACATTTTCCATGGGTCTCCAAAACGTTGTTCAATTTTTCAACTTTTTTGTTCTCTGAATTTCAATTATATACTATGGTACTATTTTGTCTTTCAATTGACTGGCAATCTTTTTGCAATATCTACTATACTTTTGCCATTGCCGTAAGTTAATGGTTATTGACACTTAGAGATAATGTACTTTTCTACTCTGAGAGGTTTAATTTCTATTTATTTTCCTTCAAAGTTTTCTTTAACAGTCAGTGTTATGTATTTTATTTAAATTCGTGTATATAGTAGACATACTTGTAATAGGTGCTTAAAGTCTCTTCCTATTAGTTCTATATTTCTTTTATTCCTAATTACATTTTATCTACTGATGTTTCCAGTGATTACAAGTTTACCTTTTATGATTTCATTTATCTAATAATTTTTATGAATGCTTTTTTAAATCCTAAAATATATCAGCACAGTTACTGCTTTTTATTTCAAAGATAAACAAGAGGTTAGAAATGTGATTCGAAAGCATATTCTTTCAGTGTCGACATCTGCGTAGTAACACCATGGTTCCTAAGTATGTAGTAATTTCAGGTTTGACACTGAAAGTGATCAATATGACACAATTGAATGTTATTTTTCTTATTACCGGGTATTAAATTTCATTTTCCTGCAAAGTTTATTTACTTTCAAATCAGCTACATTTTTGAGCCATTTCCAAAGCTTAGTTAAGCCAAGTAGCTATCTATGAGCTAGCATAAGTTGAACTTTGTTTCTTATATGTAGCCTTTCTGAGTTGAAATCATGTTTACAAAAATCTCACTACTCTAATTATATACAACTCATATGTCTAGCATCTCTTCTTGAACTCTACAACTTAACGAAGTTCAGATGTGTAGATAGTTGCTCTTACTCAAAACTTCTTTGCATAGTTACATCTTCCTTTCAGAAGCTGAATATTCAGCTGCAGGGGTTCCTACAAATAAATCCCTTTGTAGGTTTTTTTAAAACTATTTTTCTGTGGGGTTCACTCTTTTCTAAGGGTTGCCTTCATCAATTAAGATTCCATTCTGTATTCCCACCTCAATAAAGCCTTCTTTATTTCTACTCTGCTAGGTTCCATTTCCTGTGGTTGGGATAGATGAAAAGGACGAATGTCAGTCTAATGAGAAAATTAAGCAGTTTTAGATATCAGATCACTTCTTTTCCTTCCCTTTTGAATCACAGGTCTCTATTATCAACTATCCAATGCTTGAGAATAATTATTTGTGCATTGTCTGTTTGTTCATGGTGGGCAAGCTAGAGTTGTTCCAGTTATTCAATCAGAGCCAGAAGTACTGCTTCTAAGGACACATTTTTTTAAGCTAGTAAACTGAAACAACGACAACAAAAACTAGTAAATACCACTTGCCTAAAGTACTGATCTTTCATGTAGGTAACTTTAAAACCAATAAATTTTGTAGATTTGCATGTATAAGCCTGTGTTTTCAGGGGAATAGTAAAAGCCAAATATCTGAATTGAGTCTAAATGTCATATTCTAGTAACCTCAGTATGTGTTTTAGGTATTTTTATTACAGATTTTCAGAAAATATTTCTTTATAATTGTGCCCTGAAAATGTGTTGAAATAAAAGGTGATAAAATAAGTTTGTATTGATACTGTATAAACCTCATTCCAAAAGATCTCTCAAAATACTTAATATACTTTAGGGAAATATAAGGAAACACTTGGGATTTTTTTAGGGAAAAATCATTAGTTTTTATCAAGAACATTTGTTTGTGGGAAGTAACACCTATTTTTTTTTTGTCATTCCTGGGACCTGAACTCGGCCTGGGTGCTGTCCCTCAGCTCTTCAGCTAGTTCTTCAAGGCTAGCACCAATTCCAGCTTTTTCTGCTTATGTGGTGCTGAGGAATGGAACCCAGGGTCTCATGCATGCAAGGCAAGCACTCTATCATGAGCCAACTTCCCAGCCCCAGTAATAACTATTTTTTAAAATGTTGAATTTTCTGTCAATATATTTCCCCTTCAGATTTAAAATTCAAACTAAATACTAATATTTAGGTATTTTTCACAAATCTGAGAATGCATAATTGCTTAATATGTCAGTAAAATATTATTAAATTTAACATCAAGTTCTTGATAAAATATCATTTGGTACATGTTAAATTCATGCAAATTTTAATAATTTGATTACCATATTGTTCATTTTAGTGGAACCTCAAATACCAGAAAGTCTTTTAGTGGTCACTAAATATGTTAATAGATAATTAGCACAGTAAACTATACAAGCAAAAATAATAAATGCAAAAAAACCCTCTAACTTCTGATATTTCTGCTTATTCATTCATCTTTACTCACCTTTTCCTTCTCATTGTTTAGAAATCATATGATTTTTAAAAGTTTTCAATAAAATCCTTTTGAAATTTTTAATAAAATAGTCTGTGTTTTACAAAGAGAATAAAATTATACAGGAGAGGGTCAATATTTAACTTATTTGCCTTTGGAAGAAAGTAAGAAGCAATCTTTAAAGTATTACATGTGATACCACTCTCATATCATGAATTGTGTTTCAGTATATTAGTGATCAGGTCATAATAGACAGTAAAATATATGAACAGAATTCTGAAAATCCTGTATATACATGGATGTTTATAGGTGAAGGAAACTTTTTTTTTACTGTTTTTATAATAAGCTGCACAGGAGAAATAACCTTGGGTCTATTTTAAAAATTAACTTATCTTTCAGTTATTTTGTGATATATACATCAGTGATGATTTGGTCTTCTAGTTAACATGATGTTCAATGATCCCTTCTCACGTGCACACTTTTCTGGATGGACAAAAGACAAACAGCATGTGTTACACAAAGGGCCAGCCTCTACAGTGTTCATAGAATCATTGACTAAATAACACAGATACACAGACTGGAGACAATAAAGACTAAATGAATAAGGACCAAAATAAGGAGTACAGATGGCAAGTGTCCAAGGAGGCTGGAAGAGGCAAAGATAAATGTGGCTGCTAAATTGTGAGCAGCATCAGGACAACTGGTACCATTATCCATATTTTTTTATATTAGGGTATGTTGCCTCATTTAGAAATGTTCATTTAGAAATGTATGATTCCTTTTAACAAACCAATATGAAGTTGATATTGCTAAATGCTGCCAACTTGGTGATACTTACAAAATCTTTAAATTTCTTTATAGTTCTCCGAGACACAGGCAAACGGTCTATTAATAGTGACTGGAAGATTGAACACTCTGGAGCATTCAATTTAGCAGGAACTACCATCCATTATATAAGAAGAGGCCTATGGGAGAAGATATCCGCCAGAGGTCCTACTACAACACCTTTACACCTTCTGGTATGAGGGAAATAATTAATGATATTGTCTAATTTCTCAAAAAAGATGTTCTGACTATTCCCTGTCTAATATTTGCTGTATATTTCAATTGTCAAAATGATATTTAAGATAATTTAAGAAGTGAGTTTGGGGATGTATTAAAGTATGTTTTAAATTAATTATTACAAGTAGAACAAAGAAGAGATGTATTACCAATGAATGAGGAAGTTTTCTTTTCCTGAAAGCATTTGTCAATTAGCCAGAATGCTTGTCTAAAAAAGTGATATAGTATGGCAAATAATGGCACTGTATGTATCTTTAGCATGGACCTATCTGAGTTGTGTAAAATGTCTCTGATAGTGTTATTTTATCGAAGAAAGGAATGTATAAATGTATCCAACAGAGATCCCAATTTCCCCATCCTATTCTCTCATCTTTATTAATGGAGTCCTGTAAAGAATTGTGGAAATTTAGAATGTTTGCAATTATAACATTTTTGCCAAGTAGTAAAAGATTATTTTTCATTCTAATTTGAAGGAAAAGTATTAGAATGAGATTCTGCAGTCTGGAAGCAGCTCCATGGGTATGGAGTGAATGGAACAGGTAGTTGGTACCAATCCCACAGAGAACAAGAGACTGACTATACAACTAGAGAAAGTCTAAAATACAAATACTGCACTACTTCTGACCTAAAGCTCTGAGAATGGCTATTTATTTGACATGTGACATGTCACAAGTTTTAGTATCTCTGCATAATTTAAATTTAAATTATCTGCACCTGGTGACATCTGTGTTGTTAGTCTGTAGTAGGTGATCCACCTACCATAATATCCCAGGATAAGGGTGCATTAACTAGGTTCTAGTAATGAAAAAAAAATTGACTCATTGTTCTGGAGCAGAACCTAAGATTTACTTTTTTAATCAGCTTCTACCTCAATCCAGTGGTCCACTGAAATCAGTGTAAATCACAGTGTTCTACATTACAAGAATAAAGGTATCTTCTGTTTGTGTATTTTCTGTTTTAACCTAAAAATGAAGACAAAGCTAGGTGCTGGCAGCTCATATTTGTAATCCTAGCTACTAAAGAGGCTGAGATCTGAGGATAGTGGTTTGAAGGCAGCTCAGGCAGAAAAGTCTGTGAGACTCTTATCTTCAATTAACCAGAAAAAAAAAAAACAGAAATAGAGGTATGGCTCAGTAGAATAACAGTGCAGAATGTAAAAACTAAGCAAGAACACCAATACAAGCACAAAAATAATGTTCTACATATGAATGAAATGTCAACTGAATATCTAGCAAAGGTTTTCTCCAACTATGTTGTCTCTTCAGTTTTTTCTTTTGCTGTGCAGAAGTTTATGGATTTGATGCAGTCTCTCAGGAATTCTTTTTTTTTCTGACTCTGTATTTCCAGCCATTGGACTCTTATTTGAAAAGTCATTGCCTAGAACTAGGTCTTGAATTACTTGTCATTAATTTTTCCTATATTAATTGTATATTTTTATTGTGAGACTACCATACAGAGGAGTTACAATTACATGGGCAACCCTTTATTAATTTTAAACTTTCAGATCTTAGATTTGTCTTTAATCCATTTTGAGGTTTGTTTTTTATTTTTAAAAAAGATGAGAGATAAAGATCTAAGATCAGTCTTCTCCATGTAGATACCCAGTTTTCCCTGCACCACATGTAAGAGAGGCTGTGGTTTTACCATCCTATGTTTTTGGTACCTTTGTCAAAAATCAAACAAATATAGCTATTTAGTCTCATTTCTGGATCTTCTATTCTACTATCCTGTTTCTTTTATGCAAGTAACATAATGTTTTTGTTACTGTGCTCTGCAGCATTAATCTATTTGCTTATGGCTTCATGACTATTCAGGGTCTTCTGTGCTTCCATATGAATTTAGATATTCTTCCAAATTTTCCAAAGAATATCCTCAAATTTTTAATGGCAATTTCATTGACAACTGCATAGCTTTTTAAAATGTGGACAGTTAAGCAATATTGATCATGCTGATCTATAAGCACAGAAACTCTTTTCAACTTCTAATATCCTCTACAATTTTAGATACTACTGAAATCCAGAGTTATTTTAGGCAATATTTTGAAAAACTCATTCTAGTTTTCAAATTCAATATATCTGTTGAATATTTATTGGTCTATTTATTGGTAAATACAATCTTATAAAACAGTCAATAAGATATAAGCAACCTGAAGAAAACAATAATACAAGTAAATAATAATACAAGAAATAATACAAATAATACAAGAAAACAATAAAACAAGTTTGAAACTATAATAAAAATATTTCTCAATAAGAAAATCGGAGGCCCACATTAATTTGTTGCTGAATTCTACCAGACTTTTAAAGAAAATTGAATGCCAATGTTCAAGCAATCCCACAGTAGGAAAATCTATAATTGTATTAATTTGTGTCTTCTTTCCTTTTCTTTTAGTAGCTTGGCTAAAGGTCTGTCAGTCTTGTTTGACCATTCAAAGATCCAACTCCATGTCTTTCATAGTGCTTATTAGATAACATTTCAGCTCTTAATTCTTTCTTTCCTTCTACTAATTTGGAGATTGGCTTGTTTCTGTCTTGATAAGCATCATTATAATATTTTTTAAGATCACTCTGATTTTTGGTGTAGAAATTTACAACTAAAAACTTACCCTTAGAACCACTTGAATCATATTCCAGAGTTTATTATATATTTGGTTATAATTTTCATTTGATTATAGGGATATTTTACTTTATTCTAATTTCATCATTGACACCACTAATCATTCAAAAGTGTATTGTAAAATCTCAAGCTATCTTTTCTGTACTTTTTTTAGGTTGATTTCTGGCTATATCTTATTGTCCTATGATAAAATATAATGTTATTTCAATTTTCTTCTATTTGCTAGATTTTTTTTTTGTATTCTGTTATTACCAATTTTAAGAAAGTCTCATTGGATTCTGAGAATAGTGAGTCTTGTGTGACAGAATATTCTACAACTCTAGGTGAAGTCTATTTGACCAATAGTGTTAAAGGTGACCTATAGTGTCATTGAATCTTTGGTGGACTGGGGGGGAAGGGCCTGGTGGACCCTGGGACATACTGCTTAGAGCCTCAGCAGAATGGTTGGTGCTCCACTCTAGCTCTCTGTATTTCCACAACTTAGCTTATAATCACTTGCCTCTGTGTATTCTCACCCCAGGAGCTCGGATAACTGCTATCCCACTTGGGTTAGGGTTAGGGTTAGGGTGAAGTGACTTCTACTCCTTCTTGTGACTTGTACTAGTTTCCTACTGTACTGTGTTCTTCACATTTCTGACTGCAGCTCTACCTGCAGAGCTTATTATGCATCCCCAAAGACAGAATAACGCAGGGCACTTTAATTCTTAGGCTAACAGCTCCAATTGGAATCTTAAAACATTGCTTCCCAAGACTGCATCAAAACAGAATGTGGGGATGAGAGAACTTTCCTGGGCCCTGTGTGCTATGTGGGCTCCAGAACACCTGCCTGGAGAGACTAGAGATTCACTTGGCATTGAGTCTTGGTCTGTGTCCTCTGAGTCCCTCATGCTTTTCATCCCTATCCCCTCCCTCTGCTGCCTTAGTTCTCATCACAAAACGTCTCTTACTCTATGTCACTCTGAATTTTCAATTTTCTTCTTTTTTAAAGGCTGTAAGATTCCATTTTTTCACAATTGAAATTCCAGTGTGTGTTCTTGACATTCTCTATAATTCTTTTTTTAATATATTTTTATTGTTAAGATACTATACAGAGGGGTTACAGTTACATGAGTAAGAAAATGAGTACATTTCCTATCGAGCATTGTTACCCCCTCCTTTGTTTTTCCCTTACCATTCCTTCCTGCCCCACCTCCTCAACTCCTCCCTCCCTCCAGCCCCCAAAGTTATAAAGTTGGTTTTCAATGTAGTGTCTTGTACATCTCATTGTTACAGTGGTTCAACCTGTATCCTTATTTCAGCATTTTGTTCTTTTCCTTCCCCTTCCCAAATTAGAAAAATGTAAATACATGATCAGGGCACCAGAATCAAATACAGTAGAAACGGGTTACACCATGGGGGAAGAACATACAAAAGAAACAAAAAAAATGTACTCATTACCTTGCTCATGTAACTGTACAGTATTTTTACAGTAAAAAATACAAAAAAAATCACATGGTACATTAAAACAACAATGACAATGATAAAACCTCTTTTGTCTCCATCAGGGCTTATTTCGCTTAGCTTCATCTTATATGGTCATAGGTACATAGCTTTTGACTTGTTCTGCTTGTCTGGTAAGATTATCCTAGATGTATACTAGTTATTGCAAATAAGGGAAACCATGGGACCAATGTTTCTTTGGGTCTGGCTTATTTCACTTAATATAATTATTTCCAAGTCTCCACTTTCTAACAAATGGAGCCGTGTCATTTTTTCTGGTGGAAGCATAGAATTCCACTAGAGAGAGAGAGAGAGAGAGAGAGAGAAGAGATACATATGGATACCACATTTTCTTTTCTTTTTTTTTGGGGGGGTCCAGTCGTGAGGCCTGAACTCTGGCGCTGTCCCTCAGCTCTTCAGCTCAAGGCTAGCGCTCTACCACTTGAGCCACAGCGCCACTTCCAGCTTTTTTTCATTTTGCTTATGTGGTGCTGAGGAATCGAACTCAGGGCCTCATGCATGCAAGGCAAGCTCTCTACCACTGAGCCACCTCTCCAGCCCCGATACCACATTTTCTTGATCCATTCATCTACTGAGGGGCATCTGAGTTGTCACATAGCTTAGCTATGGTTAATAATGCTGTGATAAACATAGCTGTGCTGGTAGCTTTAGTATAGCCTTGTTTGTGATCGTTTGGGTAAATGCCCAGAAGTGGGATTGCTGGGAGACCTCAGTACTTCAGTGTTAAGCGTGAGCTTACTTGCTTTGTATCCTTAAGCTGACTGGTAGTAACCACGATTTTTCCTAGAAGCATGAAGCATAGTTAAAGTCAGTGAACTATGTCTAAAAGAAGATATCTGTTTGACCTAGATTATTCAGTAACCTAAGGGAAACCACATTTTGCAGATAATTTTCTTTAATGACTATTATAGATTGAAAGCTGGTATTGACTTTTGAAAAGCAATTTCTCTGTTACATGCTTCAATGTGTGCCCTCCACTATAATGTTTCACTCTTTCCTTTTTGAAGAAACTACTGCCAAATTTAAATGGTTTCAGGACAAGGTAATGGTCTTATGGCTAATATCTCTCTTTTAAATGGCATTAGACAGGCAAGAAAAATCTGTTAATGAAAAGGTAGTTAATTAGCAAAATTATAAGTGTTTAAATATAATGCAACAATTTTCCAAATAGGTAATAACTGTAATAATATGGTCAGTCATAACAATAAAAAAGTAAATGATTTTAACTCAGTTAAAATTCCTATCTCTATCTCATTCTTTTGTCTTTGTCTGTCTGTCTTTCTTTCTCTCTCTCAACTTATAAAGCTAAAAGAAACGTGTAATTGACAAATGAGATCTTCAAACCAAAGTAAACACTAGGGTGTACTTTGAATCAACCATTAATAGATTATATATATTTGGACATAAAATTGTTATTTCTATTACTCATATTTTATTGATATAACTGTTTCATAAAGTCAACACATTAGTTTCACATACTATGCAACAAGTAAGTCTCAGCATTTCTATTGACATATTGAACTGAATCTTGAGAAAAGAAGAAAATACAATAGAGAAATTCAGAAGCTTAGCCTTGGGCTTACTTAACATTTTTCTCATGTAGCATTAAAATACTTATCAATGTAATTACCTGGACAAAGGTTAGATAATAAAAAGGTTAAATAAATATGTATACATTTTAAGCATCACATTGTGTTGTATAAATCATTTTTTTTAAATTCTCAGCTAAAGAAATGATATATTTCATCTGACTGATGGTCATAATTTCCACAAATAAATAAATAAATGTGTTTATCCTTCTTTCATTTAAACATAGATACCTGCATGAATATGTATCTATCTTTATATGCTTTATTACTGCCCGTGAAGCTAAAATTCTTGGCTCTATGTAAGTAGAGAACAAGAAAGACACAAACCCTGCCCATGATTGTACAGTTTGGCTTCAAATTAAGTCATTCCAAACATCCTTTACAGATTATTAAACATTTTACATGTATGTGTTATTAATATTTATTTTCTATTTAATACAAGTTTATATTCAAAACCACAAATGTAGAATCAGCTTTAATACAAGTTTATATTCAAAACCACAAATGTAGAATCAGCTTCCAAAATGCAAAGTTAACTGTAACCACACAAAGAACAAGATTCTTATTCTCTACTGGACATAAATTCCCATTATTGGTGGGAATGTAAATTAGTCAACCCACTGGAAATTGGGTTGGAGGTTCCTACATAAACTTAAAATATATCTACCAGATGATTCCATTACACATTCCTGGTGATATACCTGTAGGAATATAAGTAAATATACTTGTGCACCTATGTTTATAGCAATACTGTTCACAATAGCTAAGGTAAGTGCTAAGTTATCAGGGAATGAATAAATAAATGTGTTATGTGATGTATGTTTCATATTGTGTGTTTGTGTGTGTGTGTAAGATGAAGTAGTAATTTGTGCCATAAAGAAGAATAAAATTATGTCTTTTACAGGAAAATATTGGGAACTGGAGATTATTATATTAAGCAAAATAAGCCATACTCAGGGATGGGAAAGTCGCTTAGTGGTAGTGTGTTTGCCTAGCATGCATGAAGTCCTGGGTTTGATTCTCTTGTATCACATAAACAGAAAAAGCTGGAAATGGTGCTGTGGCTCAAATGTTAGAGTGCTAGCCTTGAGCAAAATTGCGTAGGGACAGTGCCCGGGCCCTGAGTTCAAGCCCCGAATTGGCAAGAAAATAATAATAAGCCATACTCAGAGAAATATTACATTTTTTCTTTCATATGCATAACACAGGCCTCATTTTAATCTCTTCAATGATAAAGAGGGGCTGCTTTGGGTATCCAATGAGAATGGGATAACAGAATGATAAAGTGGTGAATATCATCAAAGTATAGCATGATGAAACACATTAAAATTATAAAACAAAAGAAAAGAAAAGAAAAGCCAGTGCTAATAACTAACATCCATAAGACCAGCTATTTGTGAGACAGACATCAGGAAGGTCATGGTTCAAGGCTGTCAGGCTTGGGAAAAGCCAGATTTCATGCATGCATCTAATTCCAACTGTGTGGAAAGATTGTGGTCCCAGGATATCTCAAGAAAAATGGGAGCCCTTATTTTTTCAAATGGCTTAAAACAACAAGTGATGGGTCAAAGGGAGTCATAAGAGAATAGTAAAGGGCATGAATGTGATCAAAGAGCATTATATATCTATGTGGAAATGTCATGGTATAATCCCTACATATAATTAATATATACTAATAACACTTTTGGGCCATCCAGTTGGCTTAGAAGATCTCTGTCTTTTTGGAATATAATACCCAAAGTCTGCTGTTTTGTCTGTGTTATTTCTAAGATCATCTTTCCTATCTTTTCTTTTCATATGACTAGAAAGGCCATAGTTGATATTATATTGTAGATCAGAGATTGAATCAAATAAACATGTCCACCATCACTACTACACAGTCCCTACGGAAGTTATCTTACATGTAGACTAGATTGTGGGATTCAAATTGAAAGAAAATGATCTTGAAAAGACAGACAGATGGAAAAAAGAAAGAAAGAAAGGGAAGGAAGGAAAGAAGGAAGAGGAAAGAAAATGAATCGGAACCTGCCAACATTCAAGCAACCTTTTTCTTTTGACATGTTAAGCTCACAGGTCAATAAAGAACCCCAGTCTTTTCAAAAGTAGGGTCTGTTTAATGTGACAGTATGATGCCATATTTCTTCTGTTAATTAGAGGTGTACTCTACAACTAGCAGTCATTTTAAAGTATCAATATCCCTAGTTTTTGGTTCCACATTGAGTATGTTCCACTTTGATAAGCCCATTTGTGTCATTTCTTTCTACTATAGGTGCTCCTGTTTCAAGATCAGAATTATGGTCTTCATTATGAATATACCATCCCATCAGAACCTATTCCAGACAATCAGAGCTCAAGAGCATCTGAGCCCCTCTTCCTGTGGACACACACCGGCTGGGAAGATTGTGATGTCACATGTGGAGGAGGTGAGATCTTTAATACTATTTGTCTAATGCAATAGTTCTTTTCTGATTCACCATGGATAATCAAGACATATCCAAAACCTCTAAATTGTAATTCCAAAAATCACAAAAGTTTGGAAACAGAAAGCTTTCTTGAGGACATATTCATGGGCTAGTCACATAAACAACTTTGTAATGAAACCTGACTTGAACCACAGAAAGCTACTTACTAGTCTTTCCATGTGCCACTGAAAGTAATTCCTCTCTCCAGACACCCAGAATGTAATTCCTCTCTCCAGACACCCAGAATGTAATTCCTCTCTCAAGACAGTTACACCTGTAAACTCAGCCACTCAAGAGGCTCTCAGTTCAAAACCAGCCACTAGATTTTATCTCCAATTAACCGCCAAAAAGCAAGAAATGGAGCTCAAGTGAAAGAGCACCAACTGAGGGGAAAAGCTAAGCTCCTAGATCCTAAGATCAGGCCCCAGTACTTGCACACAGAAAAGAATCACTGTTCATTTTATTGCATATATAATAAGGTATTTATCTACAATATACTAGGTTTTATTTAATATATGTGAACTCTGTTGTGCCCATAAAATCTTAAAAGTGTAAATCCTGAAATGTGTATGTCACAACAACTATTGAAAAACCTGGAAAGGCTGTAAGATTCCATCTCCAATTAACCAGAGAAAAGGAGGGCTACAATATGGCTGAAGCAGTAGAGCTCCATCTAACAAGCAAGCTCTGAGTTTAAACCCCAGTACCACCAAAAGAGGAAAGAAGGGAGAGAAATACAAAATTTGTATCAAAGTTTGTTAAATACTTGAGAAAAATAAGCAAGGAGGGAATATAAATGGGGAAGTGGAAGGATGCTGCAAAGATAAGAGGGAGTTGGTGGTGATTGCTAAAAACAGTTATCAGGAAAGTTCTCAGGGAAAGTCACATTGAATACAAACTTTGAAGTGACTCTAAGTGATCACCAGGGATATTTGGGGCTCAAGATTTGTGTGTGGGGTACTGTTAGAGTAGAGCTGACATGGTCTAGGTGATGTGAGATATGAAGAAAAATCTGACTGTAGAGACCTATCTGTTATTCCTTGTGTTTCTGAACTGAGAGTAGGGGTAGAGGCATCAGTCAAGGGTACACTGACATGATCAGGATAGGACGGGACAGCAGCTGCACCACTGTGGCAGCAGGAGGAGGAGACATGGCCACAACCTGAACAACTCAAAAGAGCTTGTTGATGCTGAAGTATGACAAATTCTACAGCTTAAATTTTATAGCTTGGGAACAGAGCTAACAGATGATGTTGATGATCTTGATGTGGAACTATGTGAGCCATAGGAGGACTGCCATCATTTTACTAAAAGGAAGGGTGAAGTCAATATGGTCTTGCACAGGGAAATGTGTGACACCACAGGGTCAGGAAGGATTTTTATCCAGTGAGTGACTAAGTATATAAGCCTAGTGTTCAGAAAACAAGGAAAGAAGGGAAATGTAGCTGTGGTAGAAGGGCTATGCAAGGGCTGGGAAGGTGGCTCCAGTGGTAGAGTGATTGCCTTGCATGCATGAGGCCCTGGGTTCAATTCCTCAGCACCGCATAAGCAAAAAGTAAAAAAAGCCAGAAGTGGCACTGTGGCTCAAATGGTAGAGCGCTAGCCTTGAGCTGAAGAGCTGAGGGACAATGCCTAGGCCCAGAGTTCAGGCCCCACGACCGGACCCAAAAAAAAAAAAAAGGGCTATGCAACTCTAAAGAGATTGTTGATGGGTTGAATAAAACAAAATATAGGTCACTGTTTGTCAATGTGTATTTTCTAGAGTAGAACAGAAAATAAGTACTCCAAAGGAGAAAGCAACGACTTGGTAGAACAATATGCATAGGGGATGGAATGGAATTGGGAAACTGGCTTTGGACAAAAATATAAACAGTCCATCACTAGTCTAGGGAGAAAGATGGGGTTCTTATAGTGATACTCTGCCGACTGTGAATCTTCTTCCCACAAAGGCTGTCTACGTGAGAGTGAGGAGACACTCTGGTTTTGATCAGCAAGTATGTGGATTGGTTACTTAGAGTGAGAAAATGAATTTAATAGAACCATGTGTTTTATTGTGGTAGCTTAAAAACAAGTGTCATTAATTTAGTATAACTCCAGTCTTCATGGTGTGTTATAATCTGGCTGATGCTCTTGCAGACAAAGACTAGGAATTGCCAGGGTGTGATGAAATAAGAGAGGAGTGGTTAGTTGACTCTGGTTGTATGGAATAAGTTGGGAATGGTGGGCCACAGTATTATAGTCATATCTGCAGTACACTGTCCACAGTGGCAGTAGGCTACAGAAAAAGACATGATAGAAAAGCTATAGTTCATTTTACCATAGAGAAAGTAATTAGTAACATCTATTTACATTTTAAAACATGAGCAAGAAATATTTATCAAGTAGGTTATATTACTCTTTTTGTTTTCTCTTTCTTTACTTGTAGTCTAATAAAAGTTGCATCAAAATTAGTTAAATATTAATAATTTGTCAGCTCTCAAGTTAAGAAAGTAAATCATTTCAAGTTAAATTTTCCCCACTGTTTGTATTAGTTCAATTTCTAAATCTTAAAGAATAAAGATTCCCTACAAATTATCTTAGGTTCAGAGTCAGAAGGAAAATTATACATTCTTAAGCATGATCTATGAATCAACATGAGAAAACTGAAGTACATAGAGTTTGAGGACTTCCCAAAGTCACATGCTCATGTGAGATGGAGTCAGAATTAAAACCCACAATTTACCAGCCCAAGGCTTCTTTCCTTCTTGTAGTGCCACCAAGAGCAGTTAGCAGGCTTCCTGAAGCTTGCTATCAGGAAAGAGCACAGTCCCAAGACATCACTTAGATTTTCTTTGGGTTCAAAGAGATGTTCTATTTCATTCTGTTAAATAAGAATTTAGATGTTTCCTTTAGTTTTCAAATGGCTGATTTTGTAATATACCCATAATTATATGCAACTCATATATGATTTATGTTTGCTATCCCTCTGAACTATATTCCTCTGTGTTGAATCAACAGTTTTCAATTATCTCTACCCATGTTAACAGGGCATATGTGTATTTCAGTGCCAGGGTGTTTCTGGGCTTGTAGACCTTATTTCTTTTTCAGTTCAGTAAATAAAGTGAATGAACAGGACTTCAAAGATAGCATCATTTCTAACTTCATATAATTGATTTTAGATCCAGAATAAACTTTGTGTCTTTCAGTTTATTCATGAATTAAATGAGACTGTTCAAAGTACAAAACATTGGAAACAGATTTGTGCAAAAATGTATCTTCAACAGAAGAGAGGAATAATAATAACAGCATTATTTCTCTTCACAGAAACATATTAAGAGCAATTATGGTAACACAGGGAAGTTTAAAACTTCAGTGTTTGGCACAATTTTTCTAATTCTGGTGCAAAGAACTAGAACAGTAATAGGTGAGGAAAAGAAATGAAAAATTACCTAGTTGGTCTAGCTAGATTTTTATTTTTAATGGTCTTTTATATCTTCAAGCTGGCAGCAGCTTGAACTCTAGGCCTTGTGGCCTGGCTTTTTTATTCTAGGCTGGTACTCTAGTACTTGAGCCACTGCTCCACTTCTGGCTTTTGGTGGTTAGGTTTCCCTTATTTGTAAGAACTAGAATATATCTATGATATTCTTAACAGAGATCTCAACAACCCAATTTTAGTGCATAGGACCATATATAATGAAGTGTATCAATATGAACTCCAAGATAGGGAAACAAGAGGTTCTTATTATATCCTGTACATAGTTGTTTTTTTTTTCTTTCATTTCTCTTAGTTTTCAGTACCTTGTGTCTTGTATATATGAATATTTGATCAGGGGAAGGGAAAGGGAATCACAGAAACAGCAGATCAAAGGATGAACTAATTCAACAATGATACTCACCTTACAACTTGGGGAGGAGGGGAGGAGGAAGGGGTACACGGGAGAAAATGAAGGATGGGGTGACAGTGTTTAAAAACAAATGTAATCATTACCTTACTTATATAACTGTAACCCTCCTGCTAATCACATTTTTAATAAAGTATTTTTGTCTCTTAAAAAGGATATTTATTAATGAATCTTAGTTGAATGAATATGTAACATAGCAAGAATACTATACAGGCTAATTAGGAGGGACTGAGTTTTGAGTTACTTCATTTTCTTAGTTTGCTCCTTTTTCTTAATCTTTATTTTTCCTTTTGCCATTTTTCTACATTGTTGTGCCCATAGCTATGTGACTAAAGTGATAGACTCTCAGGCCAAAAGGCCCTGATTGAATTCTATCTCTAACATACAGGCAGTGAAAACTTTTTTAAATTAAATATATATTTTTAATTGTAAAGATATAGAAGGGTTATAGTTACATGAGTAAGGTAATTTGAGTACATTTCCTATTGAGCATTCTTACCCCCTCCTTTGTTTTTCCCCCACCATCCCTTCCTGCCCCACCTCCTCAACTCCTCCCTCCCCCACCCCACCTGTTCGTTTTCAACATAGTGTCTTGTACATCTCATTGCTGCAATGGGTCAACCTATATCCTTCTTTCAGCATTTTGCATGGGTTAGTTTCAAACTGTCTCGAACTTCAGCTCTCACTAGGATAATTACCATTTGAGCTCAAACTTTTTTTATTTTATTATTTTATTTTTTTGGGTCCAGTTGTGGGGCCTGAACTCTGAGCCTGGGCTCTGTCCCTCAGCTCTTCAGCTCAAGGCTAGCGCTCTACCACTTGAGCCACAGCGCCACTTCCAGCTTTTTTCTTTTTGCATATGTGGTGCTGAGGAATCCAACCCAGGACCTCATGCATGCAAGGCAAGCACTCTACCACTGAGCCACCTTCCCAGCCCCTGAGCTCAAACTTTTTAAAAATATAACTCAAACTGAATTTAGTTTACTCTGTGTTTGCATTAACTTGTTAATGTCAGCGCTTAGAGGATATGAAAAGCCTAAGCATGGAAAATTCTCTCCTTTAAAAGGAATGTTTGCAAGA